AATACGACAACGAAGACCCCGGACTGCTGAACAACTTAAGCTGTACATCAAGCAAGAATGGGAAAGAGTTCCACCTGAAAAGCTTCAAAAATTGGTCTCCTCAGTTCCCAAACGTTTACTGAGTGTCGTTAAAAGGAAAGGTGATGTAACACAGTGGTAAAAAGGCCCTGTGCCAACTTTTTTTTGCAATGTGTTGCTGCCTTTAAATTCTAAGTTAATGATTATTTGAAAAAAAAAAATAAAGTTTCTCAGTTTGAACATTAAACATCTTGTCTTTGCAGTGTATTCAATTGAATATAAGTTGAAAAGGATTTGCAAATCATTGTATTCTGTTTTTATCTACGATTTACATAACGTGCCAACTTCATTGGTTTTGGGTTTTGTAGAATTAAACACAATTATTAATTAAATTTGCTTAATTGGTTGATTTAGTAGTAAGGGACAATCAATTATTTCACATAGGGCCAATTTGGGTTGGATAAAGTTATTCCTTCTATTAATTAAATTATCATCTGAAAACTGCATTTTGTGTTTTCTCAGGTTATCCTTATCCAATATTAAAATTGTTTTGTTGTTATGAAATATGTAAGAATGATGAATATTCAAAAATAGAAGACATTGGTAAGGGACCAAATACTGTTTCACTGCACTGAAAGTCAGGAGGACGAGTGCTTGTCTGGCCTGCCTGCAGTCCTGATCTGCCTCCTATTGAAAATGTATGGCACGTTATTAAGCGAAATATACCACAAGACCTGTTTAATGGAGGAATGGAGGAAAATTCTGCTTGATGGACTTGACAAAATTATGTATTTAGTGCTCAAACACTTATTAAGAGTCATTCAGAGACATGGTGATATTACACTGTGGTAAACAGTCCACTGTGCCAACTTCCTTGGACTATTGCAGTCATCGCATTGTATATTTTCAATAAGCAATTATATTTACATGTTGCAACATTCAGTGATGTGTTAGTTTACTGTTCAGGTTGAATAATTCTTTTTGGTTTTATTTGCATTTCTTTTATTTAACCCTTATTTAACCAGGGACATGCATGCATGCATTGTCCATGATGCATAAATCTTTTTGGAATCAGGTTGTAACAGACGAAATGCTGATTAGGCAAAAGCAAAAATACTGAAAAAAAAATGAATTTATGAATTGAGCACTCAGCAAAGGGTTGTGGAGCAGACTCTAAGTATGGTTTACTATTGACAGTACGGTAAATTAAAAATAGATTATAGTAACTGGATTAAGAAGGTAAGTGAATGCTGCAGTTCTATAAAGAAATGAATGTAAAAATTCATATTGCCAGTAGGTTGTATTGAGGAACGTTTGAGAACAAGCATGATTTTATTGATGAGGTATTTGAAGTTTTTATTTCTGCCTGATCCTATTTCTCACACATCAACCTGGTGTTTTTGTTTAAACTTAGTAATTGCATTGATTTGATTTTGAATATGAAGGGCGCTATCTGGTAGAATTACTGGTTAACACCTTCTCAGTGATTAAAAAAAAACCTTGACTTAATATAATGCAATGTTTGTCATTATAAATCATTACAAAATCCTGGTGCACATCCATCTAAATTTGAATCTTGCACTTTTTTGGGGCTGTGGTATGGTTTTTTTTTAACTAGCACTCAATTTTCACCAAAGAAATGGGACATAGGGTTCCACAAATAACCAGAGACTTAATGTACAGAAACCCAGTCTGCTTATGACTTTCAAGATCTCTGTTAATATTTCCGGTATTCCATCAGTGGCGGCTCTTGAACTGGCAAATGGGGAGGCTCAAACAATCCCTTAAAATTAATGATTGGTCATGACCTGTTTTCAATCATTCATTTAAATTACCATTACAGAAACTCTGAAAACTCTCAACATTATCAGATGTGGCCAGTTTTCATTTGTAACGCATACCGATTACGACTCCGGACTTCTCACGCTTTTCTTTACTCACGGGTTGGAAGCAATGCGTGTGTTTCATGATCGTTTAAATGAAATAAGATCATTTGAAGCATCTTTATGCAATTTCATTGCTTCCAGCCCCTGCATGCACAAGGACTTCAATTCCGCGGAGAATCTCTTACATATGTGCTGATTGAATAATTGCTGACTACAGCAGAGGAACGTTATACTGCCACTTAAACTCACACCGAATGCGCGAGAGTTGACAGGTATGTGTAATTAATGAAAAATGGCCACACCTGATAATGTTGAGAGTTTTCGGAGTTTCTGTAATGGTAATTTTAATGAATGATTGAAAACAGGTTATGACTAATCATTCATTTTAAGGGATTGTTTTAGCTTCCCCTGTTGCCAGTTCATGAGCCGCCACTGTATTCTATAGACTATTTTCTTTTATGGCTGTACATTAAAGTGTACAGTCGTTGTAGAGCAGCATATTATTCAATAGTCTGTGTATTTTGTTTTTTTGAATACTAATTAAATACAGTGCTCCAGAATTCCCTTTATAACCACTTAACCAGCAGTGATTGCTAGGTCAGAATTAGAAAGTTCCGATAAGGACATTCAATTCCCATTCAAGTCCTGTTTTATGTCCTCACACTTTGAAAGGTTAAGATTTAAAATAGTAATTCCTCTTATGAGACAGAGCAGAAAGACATTCTCAGCCATGCTGATGGAGCATTGGAGTGTTCTTTGGTGGTCAGTGGCAAAAAACTGAGATCAGTTTAAGCGTTCAACTACGAGACGGCCTCAATTAAGGCTTCAATATCTGCTTTTATATTTTCTGCTGTGTGAAGTGCTCAAAGAATCAAAAGAAAACCTGTTGAAGGATGGGAGAAAAGGAAAGCAAATGCAAACACAATTTTCTATGCATTGACATTTCCAGCTCACAAACGGAGCCTTTTTTACTCAAGACTTGTCTGAAATCACTTCAATCCCTGCACAGCAAAACAGCTCCACCACGTAGTAACTCATTGGTTTAGCTTTTACTAGGGTTTGTATAATTAACACTTACGAGAAGTGTCAGAACATTTGCACAAGAAACCATGTGTAACCAGCAATAGGTTTTGATCAAACAAAAACAATAGCCTCACTGAAAATTGGAGGGCAGGAACCCCTTGAGAATTTGGCAAGTGGGGGGTATTCTTTGCACCTGTCACACTACTGAAATGGGGAAATAAGCAAGAGAAAATAATTCTCGGTCCACCCAGCATGGGAATCACCGTGTTAGGTTTGTAGTTGCTCATAGCTTGAGAAAGGGGGGGTGACTTCAGCAGTGCGTAGCCAGTGAGTCACGCAGCTGTGCCAAAGAGCAGCTGGGGGCCTCTCGCTGGGGTTGTCTTCACATTCAGCACAAGCTATCGCGCATGCTCTGTGGCATAAAGAGGCAGGAACTAACTGTGGTTTGCCGCAGCCAGCGTAACGGAGCTCGACAGGAAGGAGACAAGGCCACTACGTCACAGAAAACAGAGAGTGAGGACATTCTCCATGTAGTGTGATGGGTTCGAGGCAGACTATCTTCTGAAGTACACATGGACCTTTCCATTCCATTCCCTAGTGGAAGACATCCCTCACACATTTCTGTGCTAACTTGTTTCATCTTTGGTGGAAAATTCTCTTATCTTCTCTCACTGGGGTCAAGATTTCAGAGAAATTCTACCTTGCCCGCACAACCTGCCAGGTTGGCGTCTGGAAATCTCTGACGCTTGTGTTTATATCTAGAGCTATGTTGTTTTTTTAGTTTTACTTTTTTCTGAGTGGAAACAACAATTAAAAGAAAACACCATACAGACAATGAATCAGATGGATGTGGGGAAATCACAGACCTGGGGAAACAGGTGGTTCTTGTTTTTTGAGATGGGATTAACATTTGAGAAAGGGTAAGAGACAGGCATCGGCCAGCCTAAAGTACCATTTGAGGTGTGAAGGGACTGGGTTGCATTACTGTTGCAGGTGAGCACAAGAGACTTTGTTTTCTTTTCATTTATGACAATATTATTTTTCTGATCAATATTTAAAGGTAATTTTGCTTCCGGAAGTGTTTGTAAATGGTTTCAAAGCACTATCTACATACTTATAAGTGACATAAAAACATTTGATTTTTGATATAAAAAGTATATTCGAAAAAATATATTAGATTTTAAAATTTTGATTAATGAAGTGCAATGTATATTAAAAGCAGTTGCATCTACAGTGGGTAGATTTAAATGAGCAGGTAAAGTTCTAGCATGCTTATTGCGGTATAACAAAAATTTGCAAGGCCTGTTTGGCTAGTATTTCTGCTGCCAGTGCTAAAAGAACAAATTTTAGCCCATCCATCATTCCTTTTGCTACCAGTGCAAAAAGAAATAATCTTTGTCCATGTCACGAGATTAGTTGGTGAGGCATTTTGAACTAAGCATTAGTGGCTTAGGTTGTAAACTGTCTGATGCCGAGCAGTGACCAAAATTGTATTTTCCAGGAAATCTATAGGGAAGGCATCTTGCCAGGGTTCTCCTCTAATTTAAAACATATATTTCTTGGCAGTGATATCCGTTCATTGGTTTGAGATAGTTGACAGAACTTCTCAACATAATGTAGGCTGGCAGTTTTGTCAGGATCAGTCGCTCAAATACTTGGAGAGGGACATTATGACTACTGCGACCTTTATTGTCAGAGATACCTGCGGTGTAGCGTTTTGTTGAGTTTATTTTGTTTTATTCTTTTTTCCACTGCAAGTGTGTGTTCAATGTGTCACTAGGTAACAGGAAAGCTGATAAGCCTGCTTTTGATAATGTTGGTTAAAAGATCTGCATTCTGAAATGAAGCTGTAATTTTCACAGTAATAACGTTTGCTGAGTTGTGTAAAGAATCAGCTGTAAACAGCTGCACCGCACAACAGTAAGAAAAGCATTGCAATGTCCATTTATATTATCCATCCATCCATCCATTATCTAATCTGCGTCTTCTTGACTAGAGTCATTGGGGACCTAGAGCATATTATTATTATTATTGTTACTATCATTGTTGCTGTTGTTGTTATTATTATTGGGTGGCATGGTGGTGCAGTGGTTAGCACTGCTACCTCACAATAAGAAGGTTGTGGGTTTGAATCTGCCTGGGGCCTTTCTGTATGGAGTGTGCGTGTTTTCCCCCGTTTAAAGACATTCGTGTCAGGCAAACTGGAGATGCTAAATGGCCCATAGGTATGAGTGTGAGGGTGAATGGTGTATGTACCCTGCAATGGATTGGTTTTCTTTTTTTTTCAGATTAAAACAAAACAATTTAACCTTAGCGATGCAGTCCTCAAACAATATCAGCCGAACATAGAAATATCTATCAAATTTCATGCAGGTTTGTAGTTTTCTGCAACCGTATAAGGAAGAATATTAGAAATCAACAGTTACAGAGTTAAGCATCCATTATTAGATTTGTCAGGAGAGAGAAAATGATAATAGCAGCAAACAACAATAACAATATCAAAAAAAGAAATAAAATAATGAAAAAGGAAGAAGAAATGAAATCAAATGAAATAAAAATGGTGGACTTAATTCCCCCCTTCTAATTACTCCTTCAGCTTTTATAATGACATTAGGTAGCCTTCTACCGGTGCCCATACTTCAGCATAATTTGACTCATTTTTTTGTAGTCTAAAAGCTATCTTTTCCAATTTAATCATTTCTGATGCTTCAGAGATCTATTCTGCATAGGTATATCAGAAGTAATCCAATTTTTCATAATTACCCTCTTTGTGATCATACATAATGAGAAAAAGACTTTTTTAGCTCTTGAAGGAACCCTACTGAAATTATGTACATCTCCTAAAATACACGTATTATACAGAAGTGATGAACAGCTTTGATATAGCCATTCCATTTACACCCCTGTGATGTATTGGTGAGCTGTCCAGGATGGGTCCCTGCCTTTCGCCCAGAGTCAGCTGGGATGGGCTCCAGCTCCCCCATGACCTTAGTGAGGAAGAAGCGGTATAGAGGATGGATTATTATTACTTGTCTTTATGCCCACAGCGCCAAAGGAGAAGTCGTGTCACTCCCTACCCACAGTGAAGAAACTCTTGGAGCAGAAGCGAAAGCGAGACTCTTCCTCGGCAGCTTCCTGCTCTTCCTCAGCAGAGTCCTGTGAGGGTGCCTCTGCTCACCCGGTAAGCCTAGCCAAAGGCCCTCTTTACCGGACAAAAAACTGTACTCTACACGCCTAACTGAGTTTTTTCTGTGAATCTCGCTGTAGAATCTATGGGCTTAATCTGTGCCTGTGAAACTGGCCCTATATATCTCATGAGTAACCTCATGTACTGTGGCATAAAGTCATATCCTGCCACACCAACACATTAAATTTCTCTGTTAGCATCTAACTATTGACATAATGCATGCATACTGAGTTTTACTAAGCAGATTCCCAAACACTTTTAGAAAAATTATCACAGCATGTTGTCATGGTCCAAGGAGGCTTGACCCCAAACACACAACTCATAGGCAGATATGCAGAAAAGCTCAGTACAGCATTTATTAAACAATAACAAAGAGACTCAGCAAGGCAGATGAGTCCAGAGCTGGATGGGGAAGCAGGCGGGGAAGCAGGCTGGACTAGAGCAGGTGAGGGTAGGCGGGCAGGGCAGGAGGAGCTGGGCAGGGAAGGAGCTGGGCGGACATAAAACCTTAGCCAATGTTAAGCAGCAGAATTCACAATACTTTCTTTAACAGAACCTACAACAAACTGGCAAACAACAGAGGGCAAAGCAGGGTTATAAAGGGGAAGAAGCAGGTGAGGCGTGTTAGTCAGTATAATGGTGGGAGTGCAGGGAGGGCAGAGGCTGGAATCAGTAATTGAGTAATAGAGTAGGATGTGCTGTGAGTGGGAAGAGTCAGTAATTGGATAATTGAAAGGAATGTTGATTGCGTGAGTGAATGCAAGGGTATGGGGCGCCGTTTGTAAAATAGCGTGTTGTTATATACCGTACAGTTTTTGCACATTTAGCGTCAAAAACCGGGAAAAAAGATTGTTGCCATTTTAAACCGTCTCTTTTTCACACATTTACACACAAATGTGCAAATTAGCGTAGAAATGGTGATATCGTTTCTTGTAATATAATTTTTTTTAAATGTATCCCTTATTTAACCTTATATAAATAATATATAACCTTATATAACTTTTTGTAGAAGGAAAAAGAGGACATTAAATACTAAATCTAAACGTTAAATATAAATCAAATTGCTAAATATAAGTTTAAATTATATATATATATATATATATATATATATATATATAAAATTAAATATATAGTCATATATATAATTTAGAATTTAAGATTTAAGATTTAAGGTTTAGATTTAACCTGTTTGCCAGTAGATGGCACTGTCAGCTTAGCATTGCTGTTCTGTGGGTCTTACATGACTTAAGCGTGAAGCCAGCTCCAGCGAGTAGTCAACAGCGCGCTAGTGAGAAATGGCGATGGGTAGAAGCCAAGATTTGGCAACAGCCATACAGATGGCTGTTTCCTTAGGTGTAGGGCAGCTATATTTTTTTCCGTACCGTTAATGCGTCGCTACTCTGTAATTCTGGTCCCCCCAACTTCACTTTCGTCCCATAATCGCATCAATTTGCGTCTTGATCACGCCGACAAAATAAGGCTACAGTTTGCGTACTGTCTTACTCGCTAGCGAGCTGGTTGGCTATCTAGCTAGCAAACTAAAGTGATATTGAACTGTATAATGTTATAGCTAGCGCACCAGTATATTTAGCTACGTAGCCAATTGGCTAGTGAGCTAAAAAGGCTTCAGTTCGCTTACAATGGAATACTTGCGAGCGAGCTATTTGTCTGTCTGGTTATCAAGATGAAGTGACATCGAAATCTATAATGTTATAGCTTGCATGCCAATGTATTTAACATCCCAACTTTCCTCATTTCAGGAGGGCATTCACACTTACTGTCACTGGGAATCATTATTATCTCTTCACTGGTGAAAATCTGTAGTGCTCAGCTTTATTCACATCGGATATCGGGAGCAATGTGAAGTATGGAAGTGTTTTCTTTTTGGGGGACATTTTTTCCCTCTTGGTCCTAGAAATTGTGATGTGTTAACGGTTCGGAAAAAAAAATTGCGGCCTGCGAAAAGGACACCATAAGCACTTGTCAAACACAAAAGGCTGCAACCGGTTATTATCATTTCATAAAGTTCGATATCACTTTAGCTTGGTAGCCAACTAGCTCGCTAGCGAGTATGACAGTGCACGCAAACTGTAGCCTTATTTTGTCAGCGTAATTATTTCTGAGAATACTTCGATCATTGAAAGTGAAGTGTAGCCTTTTTAGCTCGCTAGCCAGTTGGCTATGTAGCCAAATACATTGGCGCGCTAGCTATAACATTATACACTTACAACAAATTGACGCGATTATGGGACGAAAGTGAAGTTGGGGGGACCAGAATTACAGAGTAGCGACGCATTAACGGTACGGAAAAAAATATCGCTGCCCATACACCTAAGGAAACAGCCATCTGTATGGCTGTTGCCAAATCTTGGCTTATACCTGTCGCCATTTCTTACTAGCGCGCTGTTGACTACTAGCTGTCTTCAGCTGTCTTCTACTACTCACAGAACAGCAATGCTAAGCTGACAGTGCCATCTACTGACGAATAGGTTAAATCTAAACCTTAAATCTTAAATTCTAAATTATATATATAGATTTATATTTAATAATTTGATTTATATTTAACGTTTAGATTTAGTATTTCATGTCCTCTTTTTCCTTCTATAACAAGTTATACTGCAAAAAATGATATCACCTTTTCTTCGCCAGTTTACACATTTGTGCGTAAATGTGTGAAAAAGAGATGGTTTAAAATGCCAACAATCTTTTTTCCCGGTTTTTGACGCTAAATGTGCAAAAACTGTACGGTATAAAACAACACACCCTATTTTACAGGTGGCGCCCCATACAGGGGAAGCCTGTGAACAACACACCCAGCACAGACAGACTAGAACCAAAAATAGAGACAGTAGGGTTAGGGGAAAACATGGACACAGAAGGAAGATGGACCGGGTAACCCCAGTCCGAGGAATGTAACAGCATGTACTCTGCTTAGCCAAACACAGCATAGATCACACCAAGGTGACCAGTAAATCCCAGAAATAGACTCAGAAGCAGATAAGGAGGTACTGAAATGTTTGGAATGCACGCTCATAGGTACTCAGGTACATTGCAATGTGTTTCAACCTGCTGGAGACATAGAGCTAAACACGTTACAATATATGAGTACCTTGAGTGTCTAAGCTCATGAATGTGCATTAAAACTTTCCTTAGTAGTTCCTTGGCTGCTCCCAATGCCATATGACTGTGTAAATTCAGCAATGTGTCATCATATAATTCCACATCAAGTTCTTTGTTAATTATCAAAACACAGGTCATAGATACCTTGTGAATTATGCCATGAGATGCACTGTTATAATTTCTTAATGCCTTTTGTCCTGTGATTTGATTACAGGTATCAACACCAGTCCAGCCTACTGCAACAGGCAAGTGTACCATTAATTTCCAAAGCCGACAGCATGAACAATATACGTCACATTGCCTTCCAGTACCTTGTGTATCCATTTTTACATTCATGTTAACTGTCTTTCACAAATGTGGATGCATCAATTAAGAGTTGACATTTCATTACACTTGGACCTTTTGCTATAGTTTGTCATAAATATCTCTAAAGTATTTGCAGTCAAAAAATTTGAGTGATTAAACCATCAATTTCAATGGAATCATGTACGAAGTGAACTGCTATTGCAGATCAAGTAAAAAGTGATGCGCATTTAATGCATATTTACCAGGACTTTTTTCAAAAATTGTCACACAATAGCTTCACAATTTCAAGACAAAAGTATTAGCGCGTTATGTGTAGGGGGAGGGGGTTGTATTCTGCAAATATGGTTTTTGTTTATCTAAGCCAATATAGGTGTATTCATGTCAGTATGTTAGTTAAGTTTGAATAAGGTTGGGACACATAACTTTACTTGAATTGCAAACTAAGGGGACAATTGTATGGATGTGTACCCTGCTGTAATTGCTCTCTGTGAAAAACAATAAACAGGTTTAAAAAAAAAAAAAAATATTAGCGC